AAGTCAGAGGCAGAAAACATTCCTTTTGCAAGTGTCTTTTGAAAACAGTGTTTCCTCTGCTTTCTGAGCTATCCATCTTTACATTATCCATTCAGAAGTAAGCACAATATTCCCTTGGAGAATAGTGTGGTTTGATTGTTTTCTTCCAGCCAAACTCAGTGTTTTTCTACTGAGAATCCAGTATTCTAACTTTTATTTAGTAACTGGCCAAAATCTTTGAAATCAGCATATCTTGCCGGATATAAAACATATTTCAAATTCAACAATTTCCTAACACTTCCACCACTGCCCTTTGCTCCAAGACACCATGGTCTCTAGCCTAGAGTGCCATAATTGCCTCAATTGTTGTAAGACACAGACTGCTGGAGGAGCGTATTTGCAGAACTCAAATGAGGACCAGTTAGTTGGACAATCTCTGGAGAAGAGATGCCAATGTGGACTTGGCATTCTTGAGAAAGTTCTTGACTAGAGATTTAGGAAGTCTTACTGGACCATTTATTAATGACTTGAGGGATCTCAGGATCCTATGCTGCCAGAAAACTACCCCTCCCCCACCCCACACCCAAATTTCTGGCAATCTCGGACAATGCCTGGTTACCTAAATTTGTATCGCTTCACCAGTCAGGTGGTGAGGAACCATTTTCTGTCCCCATTAGTGAATACATACACACACACCCCTTTCTTCTTGCCTCACTTGTCCGGGAACATGAAGATCCAGAAGGATCCTGGGGCACCTGGGAGGGTCCTTTATTTCCTGGAAGCCCCTGTTTTCACACAACTTACAGCAACCTGACCAGGCACCTGGTGTGGAAGGAGCAGTGTGTGAAAAAAGGGTCTTTTCTGTTTGGGAGTTGGCTAGGACTGCCAGAGTGCCCCAAAAGTCAGCTCATCACCTCATCCCCACACCTCAGCACCAGGCCTGCACAGAGAAGGCCTTCCTGGGCTGGATAAGCACTTACAAAGCAAGGAGGACAACCATGTTAAAGGCCTTGCACATTAGCTTGCTTATTTTATTGACTATATTTGCTACTACAGACACCGTTTAGGAGGAGACTTGGGGAAAACAAGCAATGCCCAATAAACCACAATAGAAATGGGTGCCTAAGAATACACAAGAGAGACAAGCACACCCATCGGGTCTTTGAATTAAGGCTTCAGGATGGGAAGGGAGCTCAGGACTTCATCTGTCAGGGGCTGGCTCCGGACGCACTGCAGCATCTCGAAGCCTGCAGAGGAAAGAAAGAGAGAATACTCCACGATGGTGAAACAAACCCATGACTGTGGCCTCAGGGCAGGCCAAGACCCCCACGGGATGCCATTGGAATGGAGGGAGTCATCCCCAGCCCAGGCTTAGCCTGGTGCAACCATCCACACCTACTCCCTCTTCACAGTCCCTTCCCAACTACAGGCAGCAAAAATGGTTATGGCTCCAGGACCCTCCTTTCCCTCCCCAACAAGCTCAAGGACTCCAGATTCCCAGCCACCCAAGTGATTCTTGAGAAGCCAAGATTCCACGTAACTCCTTCAGGGCTCCACTACTTAGACCTGAACTCACAGTTTAGCCACAGTCACCAACCTTGGGCCTGAAGTTCAAAGTCTGAGCTCCCCACTCTCAAGGCCATATCCAGCAGCCACCACCTTGCCCGAATAGGCCCGTCTATCCTAACATGCGTCTGGCCAGAGGCGGAGAACCACTGTTCCAGCTGAATGAGGGTGCAGCTGTGCTCCTCTATGCAGCGAAGGTCAGCATCCCAGGGAGCTGTATGCACAAGAGGTGGGACACTTATAAGCCCCTAGCACCTCCTGGGCATGGTCTTTCAGGGTACCAACCAGGGATAGATGGGGTGGGGTAGGAGGGAAAGGTTGGAAGCTGGGAAGAGAAGGATGGGGTCGGAGGACTGGACGTGGGCAAGAACCACTTACCAAAGATATGCTCCTCCAGCTCCTCGTCCATATAAAACACCAATGGAGCCACAAAGTTTTCAGGCATGGTCCACCATGAGTTCTCCATGCGAGCGGTCTCCCTGCGAGTCCTCGCTGGCATGTCGTCCTCTGCTCAGACCTGATCCAGAGTGGGGCAAGTTCAAACCCTACACCCAGGACAACTCATTAATAAAGGACTTGGATAAAGTCAAGAGGAGGCCAGGCCCTAATCTAGATAGTGATCTTTTCACAACCCCACCTCTTGGACTACCTGTGGTTCCTCCTAGAAAATCCACTTTAAGTGATTGTCTACTCTTAGCATAATCCTTTCATGCCAAACTGGATAATTGGATCAGTTTTTACTCCTCTGATGCCCAAAAACCAAACCCATTGCCATGGAGTCAATTCTGACTCATAGCGACCCTAAAGGACAGTGTAGAACTATCCCATAGGGTTTCCAAGGAGCACCTGGTGGATTCATACTGCTGACCTTTTGCTTAGCAGCCATAGCTCTTAACCACTACCCACCAGGGTTTCCCTCTGACGCCCAGTACAATGGATTGAATTATGTCCCACAAAAAATATGAGTATCAATTTGGCTGGACCATGATTCCCAGTATTGTGTGGTTGTCCTCCATTTTGTGATTGTAATTTTATGTTAAAGAGGATTAGAGTGGAACTGTAACACCCTTACTAAAGTCACTTCCCTGATCCAATGTAAAGGGAGTTTATCTGGGGTGTGGCCTACACCACCTTTTATCTTACAAGAGATAAAAGGAGAAGGAAGCAAGAGCAAAATGGCGGACCTCATACTATCAAGAAAGCAGTGCCAAGAGCAGAGAGTGTCCTTTGGACCTGGGGACCCTGCGTAGAGAAACTCCTAGTCCGGGGGAGTATCGGTGAGAAGGCTAACAGAGAGACAAAGCCTTCCTCTGGAGGTGATGCCCTGAATTTGGACTTGTAGCTTACTAGACTGTGAAAAAATAAATTTGTTAAAGCCATCCACTTGTGGTATTTCTGTTATAGTAGCACTAGATGACCAAGACATCCAGAAAGCCAGAATTTTCTTCACCTTAATTTTCAAAGGATTTTGTAGGCCATCTAAGCTGCTTCTACCGACACTGTTGTAATAATTTCAGCAGAAGTATTTTGTTACTTGGAGTCAGTGTCCAATTTTGATAGGACTGGAGGTCAGGATTAATACTGTGAGGAAAAGTCAAATTCCAGAAGGGACCTGTAGAAGAAAATCTGCCTTTCAGAGTGTTAAAGGGACAGTTATTAAATTTTTGTTAACTGACCAGTTGAAGGATGACATATCCAGTAATCTGATTTACGACAATAGCTATAGTCTGAGAAAAACACACAAGATAGTTTTTGCCTTTCCTGAGGTGCCAGAGAAACACTATGGAGGATGAAGATGAAACGTGAAGGTATGTGAGAGCATTTTGAAAGCTTTTGGTTGATCACTAGGGGGCACCAGACTATAATGATGGAAACCCTGGTGGCATAGTGGTTAAGAGTTCAGCTGCACTATAATGAAACATAGTGCAAACTGAAAAAGGGAGGACAGAGAGACCAGAAAACGAATCTTGTTTTATTGTCTGGGGTGGAAGCTATCTGGTATGAAATAGAAATTCTTTCTTGCCACCTGATTAGCCCAACGCAGGTCTACTGGGCATTTCTGGACCAGTAACAGTCACCATGGATGTGTACGCCCTGATTGGTTTAGACAGATCAGGATTCCTCATTTGGAGCTAAGGAGGCAGGAGAGAGCTACACAAAGCTATAGTTCTGTTAGGAAGAAAGGCAGTGGATTGATATAAACAAAAAAGAAAAAAAAAATTAACTTGCCCAAGATCATACAGCTATGTAGTGGTAGAGGTAGGATTCAAACACGTGGAGTCTCAGTCCAGTGTCTGAGCTATTAATATTACCAAGGTGATTCTAGGCTGTGTCCACACAGAAAGCTTTGGTGACTGGGATTTAGAGATCAGAATTACAGCCTTAAGAAGGCACAATGTTAATTTAATCATTCCTAGATGTGAAAGTCAGAGGCAGAAAATATGCCTTTTACAAGTGTCTTTTAAAAACAGTGTTTCCTCTGCTTTCTGAGCTATCCATCTTTACATTATCCATTCAGAAGTAAGCACAATATTCCCTTGGAGAATAGTGTGATTTTGTTGTTTTCTTCCGGCCAAACTCAGTGTTCATCTACTCAGAATCCAGTATCTGTAACTTTTGTTCAAACTGGCCAAAAGCTTTGAAATGAGCAAATCTGTTGGATTCAAAACATATTCCAAATTCAACCATTTCCTAAGACTTCCACCACTATCCTCTGCTCCAAGACACCATGGTCTCTAGCCTAGAGTGCTGTAATTGCCTCAATTGTTGTAAGACAGACTGCGGGAGGAGCACATCTGAACTCAAGCGAGAACCAGTTAGTTGGATATTCTCTGGAGAAGAGATGCAAATGTGGATTTGGCATTCCTGAGAAAGTTCTTGACTGGAGATTTAGGAAGCCTTACTAGTCTAGTCCATTTAGTCATGGCTTGAGGAACCTCAGGATCCTTTGCTGCCAGAAAACTACCCCTCCCCCACCCCACACCCAAATTTCTGACAATCCCGGACAATGCCTGGTTACCTAAATTTGTATTGCTTCACCAGTCAGGTGGTGAGGGACCATTTTCTGTCCCCATTAGTGAATACATACACACACACCCCTTTCTTCTTGCCTCACTTGTCGGGGCATATGAAGGTCCAGAAGGATCCTGGGGCACCTGAGAGGGTCCCTTCTTTCCTGGAAGCCCCTGTTTTCACACAGCTTATAGCAGCCTGACCAGGCACCCGGTGTGGGAGCAGCAGTGTGTGGAAGAAATGTCTTTTCTGTTTGGGACTGCTTCACTTGGAAAGGATCCCCAGAGTGCCCCAAAGGGTGGCTCATCACCTCGGCTCCACACCTCAGCAATGGGCCTGCACAGAGAAGACCTTCCGGGGCTGGATAAGCGCTTCCAAAGCAATGAGGACGACTGTGTTAAAGGCCTTGCACATTAGCTTCCTTATTTTATTGACTGTATTTGCTAGTACAGATACCATTTAGGAGGAGACTTGGGGGAAACAAGCGATGCCTGTGAACCCACAATTAAACTGGATGCCTGCGAATCCAAAAGAGAGACGCGCCCACCCACCAGGTCTTCGAAGTAAGGCTGCAGGATGGGAAAGGAGTTCAGAACTTGGTCTGTCAGGGCCTGGCTCCGGATGTGCTGCAGCATCTCAAGGCCTGCGCGAGGGGGAGAGAAAGATAGAGTGCCCCGGGCTGGTGAAGCGGGCCCACGACTGGGGCCTCAGGGCAGACCTGGACTCTCCACCCTATGCTGTCTGGGTGGGGGAACTCACCTCCAGCCCAGGACTTGCCGAGTGCCCCGTAAACATCTGCCCCATCCACACCTTCCCAGTCCCTTCCCGGCTACAGAGCCACCTACCTTGGGCCTGAAGTTCGAATTCCGAGCACCCCAAGCTCAGGGCCATGGCCAGCAGCCACTGCCTTGCCCGAATCGGTCCGACTATCGTGACGCGCGTCTGGCCCGAGGCGGAGAACCACCGTTCCAGCTGAATGAGGGTATGGCTGTGCTCCTCTATGCGGCGAAGGTCAGCGTCCCAGGGGCCTGTGCGCACAAGAGGTGGGATGTGGGACACTCATAAGCCCCTAGCACCTCCTGGGGGCCGTCTTTCGGGGTACCGACCAGGGATAGATGGGGTGGGATAGGAGGGGAAGGTTGGAAGCCGGGAAGAGAAGGATGGGAGTCGGGGGACTGGACGTGGGCGAGATCCACTCACCGAAGATACGCTCCTCCAGCTCCTCGTCCATATAAAACACCAATGGAGCCACAAAGTTTTCAGGCATGGTCCACCATGAGTTCTCCGTGAGAGCGGTCTCCCTGCGAGTCCTCGCTGCCATGTCGTCCTCTGCTCAGACCTGATCCAGAGTGGGGCAAGTTCAAACCCTAGGCCCAGGACAACTCATTAATAAAGGACTTGGATAACGTCGAGAGGAGGCCACCCCCTATGCTAAATAGTAACCATTTCACAACCCCACCTCTTGGACCACCCGTGGTTCTGCTCCAGAAAATCCACTCTAACTGATTGTCTACTCTAAGCATAATCTCGTCATGCCAAACTGAATGACTGGATCAGTAATTACTCCTCTGATGCCCAGGAAGCCAGAATTTTCTTCATCCTAAATTCAAAGGATTTTGTAGACCCTCTAAGCTTGCTCTGCAAACATTACTGCAGTAGTTTCAGCAGAAGTATTTTGTTACTTGGGGTCAGTGTCCAATTTGGATAGGACTGGAGGTCAGGATTAATACTGTGAGGAAAAGTCAAATCCCAGAAGGGAACTGTAGAAGAAAATCTGCCTTTCAGAGTGTTAAAGGACAGCTATTAAATTTTTGTTGGCTGAACCTGGTGAAGCATGACAGATCCCGTAATCCGATTTAGAACAATAGTTGTAGACTGAGAAAAACACACAAGATAGTTTTTGCCTTTCCTGAGGTGCCAGAGAAATGCTATGGAGGATGAAGATGAAATGTGAAGGGATGTGAGAGCATCTTGAAAACTTTTGGATGATCACTAGGGGGCACCAAACAACAATGATAAGCAGTGCAAACTGAAAAAGGGAGGACGGAGATATCAGACAATGAATCTTGTTTTATTGTCTAGGGCGGAAGCTGTCTGTTTCATGTCCTGTTCGGCTTAATGTGGGGGCTTTGGATCAGCAGTCTTCTTCCAAAGATCACTTGCTTCTGGAGGATACTTAAGAATCCTTACTTTCAGATTTCCTGATGAATTCCTTTCGGTCAAGTCTCAAGGCAGTTTCACCTCAGATTTTTGGAAGTTGAGTCTCATCCAAAAGATGAAATCTCCAGGTTTCCAATCATACAGAGGCTGACTAGCTGGCTATTTTGGAAGCGTTGCTTTTACCTACTGATGATAAGGCTGGATGTATCAAATCAGTCCTTCATAATACTTTAGAAATGTGAGCTTGCTTATATGGCAGTGTATAGGTTCAGAGGTGAAACTCTAAACTCATGGAGTAGCTTATCAGTTTCATAAGCAGTTCATCTCACTGTCATAAAGATTAATAGCAAGTTTTCAGAGACTTTTCTCAAATTTAGTTTTAAAATTCATTTTTTTCTGCCTTTTTTTTGTATTGATTTGTTTTTAAAAAAAAAAAACTGATTTTTTTTATTAATGGGTATCTTCTACCTGTTTTTTAGTAATAACCATAGTGAAATGTGTGTCTTATCTCAGTGAAGAAATAAGTTGGAATTCCTGAGGTCTGGACAAAAACATCTAGCAGATTTTGTTACCGTCAGAACCCTAGCTATCCGTCAACAAATAGCCTCAATCCATTCTAAAAGTAAGCAAACAATGTCCAGAACACATTTCCAAACCATTCCTGGGAGCAATTGCTTTGGTGAATGCTAGAACTGCCCCATAGGGTTTCCTAGGCTGTAATTTTTAAGGGAGCAGATTGCCAGTTCTTTTCTCCCTGCAGAGTGTCTGGTGGGTTCCAAACACCAACCTTTGGGTTAACAGCTGAGTACTTAACTGTTGTGCCACCAGGGGGCTCCATTTCAGTTTCCAGTAGCCAGCAATGCTTGGTATTCCTGGGCTTCCAGATACATCAATCTGCCTCCCTCTTCTTCCCATAGTTTCTTTCTTCCCCCTGTGTCTCCTTGCTTGTCTCTGTGCCAGATGTCCTTCTCTAGGGACTGATCCATTCTGATAACATGTCTGAAGTACATGAGACAAAGTCTCGCCATCCTGGCTTCCAAGGAGCACTCTGGCTGTACTTCTTCCAAGGCAGACTTGTCCGTTCTTCTGGCAGTCCGTGGTATATTCAGTATTCTTTGCCAACACCATAATTCAAAGGCATTGATTCTTCTTCGGTCTTCTTTATTCATTGTCCAGTTTTTGCATGCATATGAGGTGGTTGAACATACCACGGCTTGGATCCAACACACCTCAGACCTCAAAGTGACAACTTTGCTTTTCAACACTTTAAAGAGGTATTTTGCAACAGATTTGTCCAATGCAATACGTTGTTGGATTTTTTTTTGACTGCTGCTTTCATGGGCCTTGATTGTGGATCCAAGTGAACTGAAATCCTTGACCTTTTCAGTCTTTTCTTCGTTTATCGTGATGTTGCACTATGCTAAATAGTGACCATTTTACAACTCTGCCTCTTGGACCACCCGTGATTCCTTCAAGAAAACCCACCCTAACTGATTGTCTACTCTGAGCGTAATCCCTTCATGCCAAACTGGATGATTGGATCAGTGCTTACTCCTCTGATGCCCAGGAAACCAGAATTTTCTTCACTCTAATTTCAAAGGATTTTATAGGCCATCCAAGCTGGGCATAAGCCAGGGCAGAGGTTGAGAGATGGAAGGTGCTGGAGCAGGAAGACCCCAGAACTCCCTCCTTGGATTGGAACAGATACTGCCAGCCAGCCAATGACTACCTGGAACACGTGTAGTCAAACAATGTTGGGTTTATTTTGTGTGCTGCAGCAAGAGAGAACAAACAACATAGGAACTTAGAGCCTCAGTATAAGAGGGAGTTGTGGAGAACTTCTTATAGGATTTGGCTGGTTTATTCTAAGGAGTGATCGGGGAAGCACAGGCCAATTCTCTTAAGGGGGCAACTTGGTGGTTATCTTCCATTTTGGATCTAGGAGGTGGGGAGATTAATGTGATGCTGACTGTAGAATGTCCTTGTCTCTGTCTGGTCTCAGACATAGTTACTAAGGGGCCTTTTGCATATGTTGTTCCACCACAGTCACTGAGTGGTCTTGACTGGTTAAAATATTTTGCAAGAGATGTTTATGTTTGGTAGGGAACATTAAGAGGCACAAAGGGTTTGCACTGGACTGCTGACCTAAAGGTTGAAGGTTCAAACCCACCCACCTGTACCGAAAAAGGAAGGCCTGGTGATCTGCTTCCACCAAGATTACAGCCAAGAAAACCCTCTGGAGAAGTTTTACTCTGTCACACATGGAGTCACCATCAGTCGGAATCTACTTGAAGGCAATGGGTAGGGAATATTAGAGTCTATCTGTCAGCTTGCATCTGCAAGCTCCTAGAAATCATTCTTTTTTTGTTTTTGGTTTTTTTTGTTTTTTCACTTCTCACTCTCCCCTTTTGGCCGAAGTAAGACAAAGTCAGCCCTTAGAACATTCGTCTGTGGATTTCAGAGCTACGCTTTTGTCAGAATCCATTCATCAGAAGGTTATTCAGAGAACACTGTCTGCGTTTACACTACAGCTAGTCTCTCATGTCCCTTGTGTTGGAAGATTAGATGATGAATTATCTGAAAATGATTGCATTTAAGACTGGACAGGATCCATTGGTCAGCTGCAGTACAGGTAATTACCAGAAACAAAATGATCATTAGTCCTACTAGTAGACTACAAAGGCAGGGGCCTAGATTTCCAAACTACACCGTGATATCATTTCCCAAAATCCATGGGAATCTGTCCTAGAGAGAGAGGTAGTCTTTTTCTTTGAATCTAGGCACAAATGGTTCTCCGGACCAATAATGTTTTGTGTAGTTGCCTCAAGCAGTGTTCACTGTTTAAAAAAACAAAAAACTTCTTGACTAGCCAATAGAAACCAAGGCTAAGGAATCACCCATAATCACCATGAAATTTAACTTAAACTAGTTTGTTGGGCCTCCAAAGCAGAGGTAGGTGTCACTTATAACTTCTGCTAGGGTCATAAACAAATGCTGTATCACCTTTTATGTTTGTATTATTCCTATTATGGAATTGGAGCTCTCGCAATGTGGATGAAGAGGGAATGAATGATCTCTCCTGGGAGATCTCCTGAATAGTGCATGCTTTTTGGTCCAGGAGTATCTTTCTCAGGGAAACAAATTTTCCTGTAGAAGTAGGTGTTTAAAATATTGGAAACTGTCCAGTAGTTACTCCATCCATCTCCACAAGGCAGGCTTGTGTAAGAATTAGGTGAAAGTCTGATGTCCACATAGGAAGTTGTACTTTAGTGTCCCACAAAATGTATGGGGAGTATAAGTGTCATTTCTCACAATGAAAGCAGAACAGTTCCTGGACTCTTAAGGTGTGAAACTCCTTAAGATGAGCCTGGGAAGTCATTGAAGATAACTACTGACCAATGCAGCAAGGATAGCCTCAATATTAGTTCCTGCCCCTGTCACCGTGCTTCTGCTGACATTATTGCAATAATTTAAGCAGAAGTATTTTGTTACTTGTGGTCAATATCCAATTTGGATAGGACTGGAGGTCAGGATTAATACTGTGAGGAAAAGTCAAATTCCAGAAGAGACCTGTAGAAGGAAATCTGCCTTTTAGACTGTTGAAGGGAACGGCTATTAAATTTTTGTTAGCTGAATCAGGTGAAGCATGACAGATCATGTAATCCGATTTAGAACAATAGTTGTAGACTGCTAAAAACACACAAGAGAGTTTTGCCTTTCCAGAGGTGCCAGAGAAATGCTATGGAGGATGAAGATGCAATGTGAAGGGATGTGAGAGCATCTTGAAAACTTTTGGATGATCACCAGGGGGCACCAAACTACAATGATAAGTAGTGCAAACTGAGGAAGGACAGAGGTATCAGAAAACGAATCTTGTTTTATTGTCTGAAGTGGAAGCTGTTTCATGTCCTGTTCGGCTTAATGAGAGGGCTTTGGATCAGCAGTCTTCCTCCAAAGATCACTTGCTTCTGGAGGATACTTAAGAATCCTTACTTTCAGATTTCCTGATGAATTCCTTTCCATCAAGTCCCAAGGCAGTTTCACCTCTGATTTTTGGAAGTTGAATCTCTTCCACAGGATGAAATCTCCAGGTTTCCAGTCATGCAGAGGTTGACTAGCTGGCTATTTTGGGAAGGTTGCTTTTACTTATTGATGATAAGG